GTGACAACGTCAGCCAGTTCTCTCAATGCTACTGGGCGCATCTCATCAGGGCCCATGGATTTACGTGTATTCCATTTTCTTAACTGATCACTAACCCAATCTCCATTGACTAGCATTATTATTTAATTACTAGCATAATTAAACTGCCCTTGTTTTTTACCCAGAAGGCTTCTGTCTCCATCTTATTTTCCCCCCTTCCCCTTTTGCTCTGTGGAGGAAGGAGAGGAAAGGGGGAGGGTGATGGAGCGGCTTGGTGGGGAGCCCTTGCTCAGGCAGGGTTAAACCACCACAATTATATAAATTACTATTGAAAATAAACATTCTGTATTTCTAACTCTTAAGTGTATTTTTCCTATCTTGGGAAGATGATGGAAACCTATTAATATATAATAGTCTTGTAGGTAGGTTCCTTCTAGCACATCATAATACATATTTACTGCAAGTATTCAATTTCTTTGCTAGGAGATACAGAATAGGAAAAGGGATATCTTGTTTTCTTAGAACAAACTAATCAAGGCATTGTGTTGTTGGTTTTCATGTGAAAGCTTGTGTCACCTTTGTCACTGTTGAAGTAAGTCCAGCCTACAATTATTTTTAGTTTGTTTTGTTTTGTTTTTTTGATTGGTTGTGTTTTTTTCTTTTTTAAAGGTTTAGGACCTTGTAGTGGTTCCTTTCCAAGTCAGAGGAACTCAAAATGAAACCTCTCCTTTTTCAATTAATGCACTGTGTGCCCAGAGAGACCTGCCCTAAGGGGTAGACCCTTGTACACCAGCGCTGATCTTGAATAAAGCTGGCATTCTTCATTAGCCAGGGCAAAAACAGTGTTAGAAGTACAGTGAGATTCTTATAGGATACTGATTTCAATGATTGGCAATGTTACTTCCTCATTTTCCATCAGACTAGAAGCTCTACCTAAAGCAACTCCATCACAAGAAGTATGTAACCCTTTGGGTGGCAGCATAACAAACAGCTATACTGAAAATGGAGATGTGCAAACAAGATACTCACAATGGGCAGAAGCCTGGGATAGAAATAGAGCTGTGTGTCAGCCACCCCCATGGACATGACCAGCTGTCTGTGGTGAGCTCTCTCATCCGTTTGGATTTCTGGCCTGCCAACTAGCACGCAGCTCTTCAACAGGCAGTTCATGTAGACCGGCAGGACCTTCATTGCATCGGGAAGGATGAGCTGGAAGACACAGAAGGCCTGTTAATTCATACAGCCCCTGTGCTGGGCAACGAGAGCTGGACTTGCAAACATTTAAATAAACCACTGCTTGTTTTCTTTGCTTAAAAGCTAGAAAAAACTAGCTATAAAATGTCACATGTGCTGTTCCAAACCAGATGTGGCAGCTTGGAATGGTTCCTACATTTAACAAGAATCAAGTAGAAACTGCCCTAGAGCCTGGATTCATCATCTCGGATGCTGTCAGCTCCCTATAGCCCACGCTTGGTTTTACATGCTAAATGAAGGGGGAGTCACATAGGAAAAGTGGGTGTCTTCTCCCTGAACAATTCAAGAGGGAGATTAAGGTCAACAGTGTGCAGGTCTTTGAGTATTCCATGGTATTTAAAAGCCTACATCTTTCTGAAGTTCAGTTACAAGGACCTAAATGTGAATAGAAGGAAATCAGTGCTTTTACTGGTGCACTGAATTTTAAGTCACAGAATTAGGATGTGCTAATAATTCTAATCTGTGTTACATTCAGGAAGAACTGGAAAATACAGTTTAAAGGAAAACAGAAGCTCATCTAAATCAAATGCCTCAAACATTGTGAGTGTCCTTGGGCTGAAAATAGTAGTGATGTCTTGAGTTTTTAAGAAGTGTGGAATATAAGTGTGTTCCTAGAGCTACTTATTAAAAGAGTTAATGGACTGTTACCTTAATCACCATGTTTGGGTTTTTTTTCCCTAGTGTTGTGGTTTGAGGTTTGGGGGTGGGACAGGCGATCTCTAGGACCCAGGAGGGTTCCAGGGGAAGCAGTTTATTCCCTCCCCTTGCTCTCCACACTCTTTAAAAAGAGGCAGGAAGTGGGTGCTTCACTCTCTCTTGCCCTGTTGCTTTTGGTTTTGGTGTGTGCAGAGGTCAGTGTGCCTGATTCCATGTGGTCCTGAGCAATCCTACTGCCATCTGAGATTCGGGTTTTGTATATCTTGTTTACTTTGTATTCCTCCCATCTTTGTATATATATCTACCTCCCTTTTTGCCTTCTGTTCCCTATTAAACAATATACTTTATTTTATTTAGCTTCCAATCAGTGCAAAGCCTCTCTTTGGGGGGAGCACACAAAAATTCTGTTCCGTGGAGGCCTGTCCTGAACTCTGATACGGAACCAGAACACCTAGTTTAGCCCAACAACATGAGGTATTTCTCACTCCAGCACACTTGAGAAAATTAACAGCACTGCATCTAAATCTGATTTTCATTATTTGACATAACGGTCTCATTTGCAAAAAAGAATACTAAAACTCTACCATACAAAGAGAAAAAAAAAGAGAGCTCTGTGACTCAGCACAGCATTCCAGCAGGAAGGCTCACTAAGCTCCCTTGTGTGAATATGATCATTAGTTTCCTCAATGGCATTGCCTTTTGTTTCAGAACAGCGGCCTCCACGTGTCATAACTGCTGCCATTGAATCCTACCTGTCATTAATGGTATTTGAAAGAAAAGTCTGTCCTGAACCGTTCCTTTCTGGCACCGCTGATGGTGCAGGGTGTTGCTGATTTGCTGCAAAGCCTGGCTGGGGGAGGACTGAGGTAAGGAGGGTTTTACCTGGCTCACTGCTGAGGGGCTGGCGCAGTTCTTCCTGTAACACGCCAGCATGTGAGCTGTTTGATTCACTAGGATGTCTCTGACAGTCTTCAGTGGTTGGCTGAGAATGGCTTTAAAAGCTGCAAACAGAGGAACAATAAGGCATGCTAAAGCTGGGGACATATCTTTAAAGTTCCTCTGCTCCTCTGATTTTACTAACCTGAGCTCTACAGTTCCTGGCTTTTAGTCTCCATTACAGACAGCATCTTGAAGTATGTTTCATCTTTGCCCCCAAGAAAACCCCACCAAACATCCAACGCTACAACAGGATGTCCATCTGCACCGCTGTGCCTGTACAGTTTGCACATCAGATGTTTCTAGCTGCTTTCACCTTCATTATGTTTAGGGTGGTACATCTAAAATCTGTAATCTACTTGACTTTTCAATTTTATATTCCTTCAAGAGTTGCTCAGGCTTTGATCAGCAATTTACAAAAGATGAGTTCCCACTAGGCAATCATTCCAGCTCCCCTTCCTCCACCCCAAAGTAAAAAAAGAAAACAAAATCAATCCGATATAACCTTACCTGACTTAGCAAAGAAGTTGATAAGTGCATCAGTCTCACAAGTCTTGTAGACATCAGCTAACTGGGAGCTACAATTCAAACCTATATTGTGTATGCGAAGTCTTCTTTGCCCACTTATTGATGTGTAAAGGACAGCACACTGCAACACAGGAGCAAATGGACGTTGCTTTTTCTTGTAAAACAAGCAAGAGCCACCTACTCTACATAAAAGGCATGTAATGACCTCTGAAGGCAGCCTAGCCTTGCAGTGCTGCTCCAGTGCTTCTGTCATCTATAGGACCAACATACCTATATTTTTAATAGAAGTATATTAGACACAAAAGTCTTATTACTGTCAATGCTTATCATTTTAAGATTAGTAAGACTTTTGATCAGTAATAATATTATTTACTACACCCTGATGATACCATCTGAGAACAAGAGACTGCTGATTGTAAATTTGTAAATCATACTTTGTGTAACATTTGAACAGTTCACATAACTGCACCTGGAAAGACACCACACAAACACTGAGAAGCTTGCTGAGAAGTACTCTGCCCATCACAGCTTCTCAAGATCAGCAAGTATTTGTGTTGGTTTTGTCAAGCCTTACTGAGTGGTTCTTTTTACACACAGAGGTTGCTTATGAAGTGAAATGAGGCCCTGCTTAACCCCCATATCCTCCATCAACCATGGGCTTAGATACCTTACAACTCCAGTCCTAACTTCAATACAATATTGATATTTCAATGTAATGGTCCAAAGCCTGCAGGGCAAACACAGAATTTGAGTTACTGCAGTCTGCTGCCACCAGATACATATGACAGATACTTGTGGAAGTAAGTACAACACCTACGTGGCACATCTGTCCCTGGCACTGCTGCACCAGGGCTCTAGAAGCAGCTTCAGACCTGCCAGACTGGGCATTCACAGAGCTGTAAGTCACACAGGGATTAACTGCTCACCTAGGAAATGTATTTACAGGGGTGAGCTAAAAGCCAAGCACAACAGAAATAAAAAGATAATTCCATGCCTTAAGTGTAAAGCCATGGAAGTGGCCACTTTTCTGCCATTAAACAAGAAAAAGGAATAGTACAAAACAGCCTGTCATCATCTGTGCTTTTGAGGGAAGGTGCAACCTTTGGCTAGTTAATTAAAACCTTTTCTTATTAGTGACATTATGTCCCCAAAGCCTGCAAGCTGTTTCTTGCTCCCACCAGGCCTGCACCAGAACCTTTTTTCATGACATAACGCATGTTTTCTTAACCTGAATTAAGGCTCCGCTGTCTTCATTCAGTTTGTCATCATGTTTGAACTCCACCGTCACTGCCTTGTCACAGTCAACTGCTGCCATCTCTACATCCGTGGTGGTGTTCATGTAAATAGCACCAAAGAAGTCCGTAGCCCTAAAGCCTACAGCCAGATTAAAACAAAAAAATGTGACCTTTTATTTAAAAATGGCAAATAAAATTGATGCTATTTTGTGACTTTTTTTTTAATGGACAGTCAATTTTGCTTACTGAAACAAGAACCACATTCCCTTGGGATCTGCAGCCTCAGGGTCTCCCACCAGCTGTTTTGACAATTGGGCAAGAGGGAAAAGCTGATGGGCCACGAAGCTGTGCTGTGATTGAGACCACACAGACTGAATACTTGAAAAGTAAACACAGCAACACCATGATGAAAATGTATGAGCGTATAAAAATGAAGGAGCATGTAAGCATCCAGCAGCAACTTTCCTATACCACTCGCAGTCTGAGATGCATGTGTAATGAACAGAAGCCTTACTTCTGTTTGAAAACTATCATGGAGATATATACAGGAAGGACATATGCATTTTATCAGTCCGTCCAATTACTTTTCAAGATGTACAAAATGAAGTTGCAGCAGCCTGATCCTACACCTCATCAGCAGAGCACAGTATGATTTTCAGTTAAGCACTGTCACACGCATTCACGTTCATTTTCCTTCCCAACGGGCACCATTACCTGTACTTGTCCGAACCCTCATTATTGCATCAAATGCAGTCTTTTTTCCTATGTCCTTCCTGAGGTCACTTAAGAACTGTGGGCTGTCGGCATCGAGCTGGAAATGCAAAGAAAACGCCAAAGTTGCAGTTCACCACACGGTGGCAGCACCACAGCAAAGCCCGACCCTCTCCCCTCCCCGGGACCCTCCCGGTACCCTATCAGTGCCTTTCACATCTCTCCTTTCCTTTAAAAGGAGACAGTCAACGTTGATTGCTCTTTAACAGTAACATCTCTATGCCAGTGCCCGCCAATGAATCACTAGGCTTGGACAGCCAGAATTTCTATTCCATCAAATCACCTCCAGTGACATCCGTTCTTGCACTTAACCTGGCAGCCTGGCTAGGATTTTATGGCACAGCCTGAAGAATTACATATCAGCCTTGCACGCTTCACAAAAAAGGCCTTTTTTTGTCACCTCCTGACACAGAGAAAGTCCCCTGCGCCCCAGAGACATTCTCATTACATTTCAAACAAACAAGTATTGTTACAATGCATTTTTTGTGGATTTAATTTGCAACATTTTTATCTGTATACGCAGGAGTAACAGACTTCTCTGCTCAGAGGCCAGCTTATATAAAAGTGGATTTAATTTTAAGATAGTAACCAACTTATTACTCTTCCTAGATACATATTTGATCTTGATCTGCCATTTCAAAGTTTGAATTTTATCCCTTGGAGTTTATCAGTAAGTTTTGTAGAGTTACTGCTTTTATATTAAACGTCAAAGCACACACTGAAATGAAAAGAAAACCAACAAATCCCCAGGCGTTACTCTCTGAAAGGCAGGAAACCTCCATCACTTACCTGGAAGTTGCTGTACTTGTACAATGTTCCTCCAGTGTACATTGTGACAAGACCCATGGAGGCTACATCCACATACTGATTCGGGAAGAGGAACAAATTGACGGAGCAGCCATTTGCCACACAATCCCTGGCTAAGGCCTCGTAAGAATTTACCTGGGGCTGGAAGAGTGTCTGCACAGAATTAAAACATACAAGTGTTGTAAAATTAGACACCATTAGTAGTCGGCCACAATCCAAATGCCCACTTGAAGAAAAAGAAATCAAGTGAGGCATGAATTCAGTTAAAACTGTGTTGCCCCTGCTCATATACTCTCATGCAGGGAACCAACTCAGAACAGTCTTGGAGAACTACGTAACTAAGCAGGCAGGTAACGAAGGCTCTTGCTGGGTGCAATTATTTGCTGCCGCAAGGTCTCCTTTATTGATGGGAACAACTGCTCTACCCTACCTTGGCTGGGAGTTCCTGCAGGGCCACCACCAATAACCCTACATAATCAGGGCACAACGAGAATCAAAGTATTATACATTTGAAGCTCACATCTCTATTAAACACAGAAAATCAGCACAATAGCAGGCCCTTGTTAACTCAGAGTAGAAATTACCTTTTCTTTATCTGTATTGAGTAGTTTTTTGTCATCTCTGTTCCTCAGCTTCCCCGGTGCTTCCGCAGTTGGCAACGAAGAGTGAAAGATAAACAGTTTTCCAGCACATTCCGCAGCCTGTTCCAAAGACACCATATTGGCATATTTATTACTGCTAAGATAAATGAGCCTAATTTTCATACATTGTGGTATCTTGGAGAACAGTAAACTTTCTGCAAGTTCCTCAGAGCTCAGTAACTCATTTAGAGACTCAAAACTTGAAGGAAGGAAATAAGTCCTAAAAAAACCTGGGAATCTTCTGTCAGTAAATACCTTGGTCTAGCACACAGGTTGGCTGATGCGTTCTAACAGTCATTTCCATACAGGAATCTAAAATCTTTATGGGCAAAACTAGGAGACCTTTCTTGGAGACTTTCCAATAGGATACAAGCATTATGCAAGAAGTATCAAAAGTACAAATACTAGATTGGATAAAATTAAAAGGAAACAATTTAACAGAAAAATTATTTCTGTCAGGTTCAGGCATAGCAGTGTTCACTACATTTTTACAGATGAGCAACGATTACTTTCCTGTGCTAGATTCCATATGCAAACCTATGCTAAAATGCAGGGGTATCAAAACTTACGATGAACGTTTACTCCTGTCATAATAAATTAAATAACTGCCAGTTTTTTTCAAGTCTTCTATTCTTATTTACAACTCTAATGAAGACATATTTACTGAGATGGCGAACTACTGACAGAAACCCCTGAATTCCAAAGAAGACAGTAACAACAGGAGCAGTACTGCAGGCATCTCTGTACTATTAATGAGCTCTTACACATTTTAGAAAATCCAGTTTATTGCTTAATCTTGCTATTGAGACAGCTCACAGAAATGAACAGACTGAACAGACCATTTCAGCTGCAAGGGACCTACAACAATCACTCAGACCAGCTGCCTGACCACTTCAGGGCTAACCAAAAGTTACAAAAAGGTGAAATGAAAACCGATTGTAAACAATTCTGAATTCTTCAGGTATTGAAGAAGTTGGGTGAAGGTGAATGGATGGAAGGAGGAAAGAGGGACTTGTCCCCTTCCTGCTCCAGACTGAACTGCACATCCAGGTTAAAATGGCGATACCCAAGATGACAGACAAAAATTAGCTTTGGAACTCTCTCTTCTCCAGACGTTAAGATGTTCAGTAAAGATATTCCACAATTCAAAATAAGCTATGGAATTTTGCTGGGAAACCTACACATCTCTTTGCTATGACAGAAATATGACTGAAGGCAAGATATTATATTAATAGAGCTGAAATTTCACCTCTGCTATTCCAAGGATAGTTATGTTTAATCATGAATGCCAATTTCTTCAACTCCTTTTAAGAACCATTCTGCTGAAGTCTGAAAGACTTACCAAATACCTATTTGTCACGATACACACCAGGAATTATTGACATTACTTTTGACAAAATGTACGCACATTATTTCTAAAGGTGTATTAAACGAATCTCAAATAAGAACACAATCCATTTTGTTCTTTTTAGACAAAAATTGTTTTCTCGAGCACAGGTATATGCATATTAATAATTCACAGTAAAAATTCTTACAAATTATAGCTTTAAATACTAAGCTAAGTAAAAAGCTTAATAGCTTAAAATAGCTTTTTTTTTTACAGCCCACAAAGGAATTTTACGATTATGGCCCTTAAGTTCGTTTTGTAGATGTCAAGTATTAGGGAAGAGCATTCTGATGGAAGCAGTCACCAAACCTACGTTTCGCATGCATGCTTCGGTGGTATGAATAAATAGCACAAAAGCAGGTCTTTATTAAATACTTAAACAGATTAGAGAAATGTCATGTATTTTTGATTCAATAAATTCATCTACTCAAAGTTCATGCTTAACTTATACACAGCTCACAGATAAATTAACTCTTTAGAAATGCCACTCTGTTTTCTACCCATATCTATCCTGTGATGAGCCACGGTGACATTCCCTGAATTGGCAGCCCTCCATGGAAATGTCAGCACTTCAGGGGATATCCCGGGCAGAGAAAGCTCTGGGGAATGCATACTGACCTGTGGATTCCTTTTTAGCTGTATCCGATCTGTGAGAACTTGTCGGTAAAGCAGAAATTCCCCATTCAGTCATAAATACCTCATTTTACACAGAAAGTCAGCAAAAGCAGAACAGGCAGGGCAAACTCATACCTTATATGACTCCTCTCCTGCCCCTCACCTGTGCAACGACTGGATAGCTGTGCAAACATCCACAGTATCTGTTCGTTGCAGTAACTAAACACTATTTCTCTCAAGTGCTGAATAAGAAAACAACTCCTGCTCCTCATCTCCTCCAAAACATCCACAGAATCATAGAATCCTTTAGGT